GTAGTGCTGATCAAACTTAATTACCACATAATTATGAATATGAATTTTCAATAAAGATACCGATATATAATATTTATTATTATATATATACATATTATATATATATATATATATATATATATATATATATATATGTATAAGATATATAAGAACAATACCGTTGGAAAAATGGTTCATCTCTGTAGAGATACAAATTTGATAAGCAACAGTTAAAAGGTAAACGTAGGCTTTAATGCAAAACAGATTAGAGTTTATCTTTATTTTGTCATGATTTATTTATAAAAAAAAAAAGTATATCTTCGGAGACCCTGTCTCGTTAAATGCTTCTAAGAAGGTGGGGGGGGGGGGGTCGTATCATTATGATCTCTGTTATTTACTATGCATCAAGGACAAGTGATGTGCAATTAGACACTTTAATCGGAAGATTTAGATTTAGACGCTTTATCGGACTTGAATTACAAACTAAGCCAGTTGGGCAATTTCTTGCACACTCACAGATACCTCCTCTTTGATTTTCTATCCTTTTAAAATATCTCCTGAGCGGAACGTAGGCGGAATTACGAGTTCAAGTATCAACCCATTACATGGGATCAGAAGGCCGCAAAGAGCTTCTGATTGAGGTTTAGAGACCAAAATCGGTGGTGTTGAATAAACCTTTTTGTGGTAGTGTATCACGTTGGTACGGTACAATTATAGACTTCCCACCACAGGTCCCTTATTTTTTTTTGTATATATAAATATATATATATATATATAGTCAACAAACAAGTCTTTTACGATTTATGTTATCTCGACAGATGGATATAGTCTTTTTTTTTGTTTGTTTTATTTGCTTTTATTATTCTATTTCGTACATTGTTTTTTGCAGGAACACCATGGTATGAAAAATATTTGACGGTTATTTAATGGCAACAAGCAGTGACAAGAACAACTCTCCTTGACTTATATTTTATCACTTAATTTTTACGGTTGATTTTACAGTTTTATTTTCCAAACGACGCCTAGTTAATGTTTAAACCGGGCACTCACTGTCCCCGAGACCGTCGTCGACCGGCGCGATTCTATGAAGACTATCCCGCAATGCCTCAACGCGCACACAAGGGATTTTTTTTAATGACGATCCGTTCAGACTGCCAGTGACAATCAGCAGACGACGTCACGCCCTCTAGTGCTCACGGGCAATGGAGATGGATTCGTCGGCCGACGGTCATACGAAGCAGAGACTGCCAGTGTTTACTCGATCTACATTAGGGAGCTTTCGATTTGCGCGACGACGCGAACGAAGTCACTCATGTGTGACCGTCCTACCGGGCGTCCTACGTTCTCTGCATACGTAGAATTGGCCGAATTCGCTTTCTAGAATCTACTCGACCAGGAGAACTTAACGTTCTCGCATGCGCATATGACATTTAGTGACGTCATTACGTTATACGTAATACCATCGTCGTGCAATCAAAAGCTCCCAACTATTGTTTACATGAGCGTAAAATAAAAAAAAAATGTCTACATATAAATCGGACCATCGTACGACGCAGTGACTGCCAGTGTTTACTCGATCCACACTATTTTTTACATGAGCGTGAAATAAAATTTACTTGTACAATTTAAATCGAAGTATTAGATTTGAGTTGAAAATTTAAATGTACTGTTCTTGTTCAAGCTGTTTTGTTATCTGTCATTTGATGTAGTATAAATTTTGTTATGTAGTGATACTTTGTCTCTTTGTTTAATAGAATTTTTTTATTATCTGTTAATGACGTAGTATGCCTTACTGATTTCCCGCTCCTAATTAATTTACAGAGAAGCAAACTTCAAAGGATAACAAAGGGAAATGAACGCTATCAATCAAGTATAGTCAATTTAGACTATTATTTGAATCTTCGGCAGTAATTTGATTTTTGTTAGTAAAAATAATTAATTGTAAATTAGCTTTTGTTTTTTAATAAAGTTAAGTAGTATAACCAACGTAAACAAAATTGTTTAACGAATTGAAAAATTGTTTATGCAGTTATTAGCTTGTTTAATTTGTTCAGTTTGTAGCATAATCCTTGTTGATTAATTGATTGATTGACAGGTAGTTAGTTTTCTTGACGTTTGCAACATTTAAAAAATTCATAAATTAAATTTATAACTTAGCTTTGAAAAAAATCCTGTTTATATTTGCGAAATATGATATTGTTGAAAAATAAATCTTACTATAAAAAACGTCGTTTATTTTTGCCGATTATTATTATTATTATTATTATGATTATTATTATTATTATTGTTATGATAATAATAATAATAATAATAATAATAATAATCATAATAATCATAATAATAATAATAATAATAATAATAATAATAATAATAATAATAATAATAATAATAATAATAATAATAATAATAAAGTGTCACTTAAGCGACCGAGCCGGGGACAGCATCATTCGTACTGTGTATGCTAATGATTGAATCAACAGACGAAGAATGCTTAACGTGAGTTAGTACCAAAGTATTGGTACTGTAGAAAATGATCTGTGGCCATCACAGTATAGTTCTGGGCAAAGATAAATTCGGTGAGTCGCCCACTCCCAGTCGGGAACATCGGATCCCCAGTCAGGCAAAATCCTAACGCTATCCCGGTACTCAAATATTTACCAGAGATGACTTTTTAAATTATTAATGTATTCAAATTGTGTTCGTGTTTTAGCTGTTGAACCAATCAATACTCATTTCTCGAATACAATAGTGACGAATTCCTCTTTCAAGATCGTAGGCTGCTTATTACAAATCAAACATGTCATTATCCACATAATGCTTAATTCATTGAATTTTTACTATACTCTAATTGTTATATAAAAAATAGATATACTGGCTTATTAATTTCTACATTATTTTTAGACTTCATTAAGGTTTTGTAAATGATAAATTCTGCAATGCTATCTCTTCCTCTTAACACGTTTCTTTTCCCCCAATAGGCCCACAAGGTTTGAAATAAGAATTCTCCTGCTTGACATCAAAGTAGCACAGTTACGTCAATCAAGACCCAGTTGTTTTTTATCCTGATGCATTTACTTAGCGTATGTTGCTCCTCTCTGATTACATATTCTGCATAGGCCTAGTTTTCCAATCCCAGCATTTCCGGCCATCCAAAAGCATAATTGCATATTCTGCACATAACTTGTAGTATGGATTTGTTTTTAAGTGACGAATCCTCAAAAGCTTTGATAAGTCCATGATGTGTTTGTTTCCAAACGATGTGATTAAAATCACTAATTTAGTATTGATCGAGGTTGAAATATTACTCGAAGTACAATAGACCTATACAAGCATTCGCCGATAATTTGAAATCACACTGACTTTCCCATTTTTTTTTTTTTTTTTTGTGGCGAACGAAATTATATACTACAGTATATTTAGGCCTAGATATGACGTGTTGTTTGTAGCAATTGTATGCACTATAGTTAAAGTACTGATTCTAAAGGCTAGGCCTATATAGTAAGACAAATTACGCGGAGTATTTTTGCATGACTCATTGGCTGGTAATTTTTTATAGAACAGTCTGTAAATCATTGAAAAATATTTTTTACTTCCATCCGTTTTTGATAGTTTTAAAAAGAGATACTATTTTTTTTAATTGTGTAGACATCCAAACAGTACGTCATATAGTCAGTAGAATATCGTCAGTTTTGGTAAAATTAATGTTTATGACATATATGCTTGCCAATATAAATCTAGGCCTTTTACTTTTATTCATATTGTATGAACGAAAAATCAACATTAAAACAATACATAGAATCCTTCATCATTAGTACTATAGCAGTTAGTTGCTGCGAAGCAGCCAATTCATATTCTTGAGAGCAATTTGACCTCTGAAAGGACGTCATTGTTTGTCAAAAAAACAAGGGCCTAAGACGACTGAACAGCGGAGTTTCCTTCTTTCGTTCTGCCGGGTAAAATCAATTACTTTAGGCGACGTTTGTAGACTAACCTACACGTAACGTCCGCATGTCGCGCTAGCCTTTAATCCTACTCTAGGCCTAGAATAGCTAGGATGGTAATAGGCCTAGCCTTGAAGGGACGAAAGTCCCAATGAAGCTCGCTGGCTCACACTTGTCATGTCTCGCACTTGTGATCAAATAACACGCTGGCTCGCACTTTGGCAACACTCTTTGGCAGTCAACTCGCCCCTAGAAAACCCGCCCTTGAAAACTTGCCCCATAAAAAAAATGTACACTTTCTAGACCATGCAGTCTTCAAAATAAAAATTGTAACCTTTGGTATCAACTACATTTTCCACATACATAGACATTTTTGAAACTTTATTAAAAAAAACCTAAACCATAATTCACCACTATTGACACTTTTTGACAAAAATGAAAAATTACGACTTTGTTACCCAATGAGAAGTGTTCTAATATAGACAATGGGTCGGGTCTCATATTATTTGTTATATTTTTATTATTCATTATTTTCACTTGACTCGCATAAATAATTTTGTTCGAAGAACATTTATATGCAGTTGTACTTCGCAGCACTTCACTTGCAATTTGCAATTTCTAGTATTTATTCTATTTCTTTACACTAGTACTTTGAATTGATTTATTTTGCATTCAATATCACGCACATAACAATAACATTTTGAGAACGAACATAAAAAAGGTGATGAATAATTAATTGAATGCCTGGATGACCCATTAAGTCTAGTGATTGTACACCAGACTTATTTCCAATGGGGTCCAGAAGCCAGGGTAATTATTGCACAAGAGCGAATATTTACAGATAGTGATTTGGCAAGGTTTAGAATATATAGTAAAAGATATAAAATAGATAAACATAGGCCAATTTAAAATTAAAAATTGAAAAAAAATTGTAAAAAAGTTAAAATTGAAAATTAAAATTACTAATTGAGTAAATATAAAAACTGTATGTAGTAAAAGATAAAAACATGAAACATTAAAAATCAGTAAGTGAAAATTCTTTAAGCTTTCTCTTAAACATCCTGTGGTCAGTAATTTCTTTAAGATACTTGGGTAGAGAATTCCAGTCTCGGATACCAGTTGCAAAAAATGAAGTGTGATTAGCACCTTTTGTTTTTGGAACAACAAAGTTATATATCCTGTTTCTGGTGTTGTATCGGTGTTGACTTGAGATTGGGGTAACATTTAGGTACATATAATCTGGACATTTGTTGTGGTAGATGTTATGAATATGAATATGAATATGATTGAGTTTAAGATATTTGACATGGAATTTAATATTCAGGTATCCCAGACTTGAAAGCTCTTGATGACCAATATGGGACCTTGGGCCAAAATTTAAAACAAATCTGGCAACATTATTTTGCGTAGTCTGGAATCTCAATTAAAGAGAGTTACTTATACTACTGTACCAAGCACACGCAGAATAGTCAAAAAAGCAAGAAATTAGGGCTGAAGTTAAAAGTTCACGACATTTGAAATTGAGACAGGCTTTCTGTCTGAAAAGAAAGTCGTGAGTTGACTTTTTTAATAATATCATTTGCAATTAAGTTACAGCTAACTGCATTATTAATATTAACCCCTAGATATTTAACATAATTACTTCCTTTAACAGTGAAGCCATTTATCGAAATATGGAATGAATTAACTTTTTTTAGTTTCGTTTTAGAGGCAAAAATAATAAATTCAGTTTTTTTAGTATTTATTGATAATTTGTTGTCGATTAGCCATTGTTGGCATTGGTCAAGGACCTTGCTCAGTATTCTTGTAATATAATCAGGGTCATGGTGGGCGTATAAAATAGCACTGTCGTCTGCGTATAGCAACAGTTTACAGTCATTATCAATACATATTTCCATATCATTAATGAAGCATAAGAACAAAAGCGGTCCAAGGATACTTTCTTGAGGCACGCCGTATGTAATGAAACGTTGTTCACTTAAAGCGCCCTCCAGAGAGACTACCTGAGATCTATCGGATAGATACGACCTGAACCATTTGACACAGTCAATTCCCATACAGTCGAGTTTTTCGAGAAGGATTTCGTGGTCGACAGTATCTAAGGCCTTTTGTAGATCAATCAGGATCATTCCAGTGTAGACCATTAGTGATGTTGGGTTTCAGGTCGTCGATTAGATTGATCAGGCATGTTTCTGTAGAGTGGGCCTGTCTAAAACCAGACTGAAATTTGAATAAAATATTGTTATCGGCAAGGTATTTTTCAAGTTGGTTGGCAATAGCCCGTTTAAGAATTTTGGAGATGGAGGAGAGGATACTGATTGGTCGATAGTTTTCCGGATTAGTGCAGTTTGCCTTTTTAAAAAGGGGTGAGATCTTTGCAAGTTTCAAGTTGTCCGGAACAGTATTGGTGGTTATAGAGAGATTAATAATATGAGTAATGGGACCTACCAGTACGTCTACTCCATCCTTAAGGAAATCTTGTCGGGATATTGTCAAGATCCGTGCTCTTGTTATGATCAAGTGCATTAATCTGTTTTCTAATAAATTCTTCAGAAACATGGCTTAATTTAAACCTGTTTTTAAAATTAAACTATAGAGACGTCTAAAAGCTATCGATTTGGAACCAAATACGTTATTACATTTGGGTAGCTTACTGATAAGGCTAGAAGCAATGTTGGTGAAAAAAACATTGAAATAATTAGCGATTTTCTTAGGGGAAAAAACCTTCTCGCCTTGTATATCGAGAACAACTTTAGATTTTATTTTAGTTTTATTTTCATATCCAAGGTTTTTCAAATTACTCCAAAGTTTCTTTGGATTATTTTTGTTTTGTTCTATTTTGTTTAAAAAGTACTTTGATTTTGCAGACTTAATCATACGTTGAACCTTGTTTCTAGCAGTACAGTATGCACGCCGAATTGAGCGATTTGATCTATCTTTTTTATATTTTTTTACTAAAGTATCTCTTAATTTGATGTTCATTAAAATATCAGAATTTAACCAAGACTGCGATTTATGTTTTAGTCTTATTTGCTTCTGAGGAGCTACAGTATCGACAATATCAATAAGATTTTTTTTTAAATTAGACCATGCGATGTTAACGTCACAACAGTTACCGTATAAATTCTGGAGGACCAATCAATGTCTTGTAGCTTACTTAGGTATAGCTAAATATCGTATTTTTTCAAAGATCTAATATATACTGTGTTATGGAAATTGATAGACTCTACAGCTTTTTTCCTTGTACAATATACCATAAAGTGGTCACTAATTCCGATTTGAAATATACCTGATTGTCTAACTTTAAAATTACTATTGCATAAAATATAATTTTTAGAAAATATAGAATTTTTAGAAATTCTAGTCACCTCATTGATAATTGATAACAGACCATTGTTAGAAATAAAAGATTTATAAAATCGTGTAAGATAGCTGTCTTTCATAGTGTTAATGTTCATATCACCAAGAATGATTAGTTCATTTGTAGAACATACCATATTAGTCGAGTTTTCTAAATGTTCAATAAATAATTTTGGGTTGCTTTTCGGGGGTCGATAGCATGTGCCTACTGTAATAGGTTTTGATCTCGGTAAGAGAACGTCAACCCACATTGTTTCCATGTCATCGACTTCCAAGTCCTCGCGTCGTGTGACAGCTCTGTTGATGTGTGTGTATATACACACTCCGCCACCTTCGCGATTGCGATCTTTTCTGTAGAGATTGTATCCATCTATATGAATCTCGTTGTCAGTAACGGAATGATCCAACCAAGTTTCAGTCACTGAGATAGTGCATTTGTTTTAGTAGCCAGAAACCGAAGTTTTTCAATCTTTGGGGGCAAAGATCTTATATTAATATGGATATGGTGTAGACCCTTGGAGTTGAATGCAATAAAATCGTAATAATCCATATCTTCAAGTGTAGTATCTCCAGTGGTATCAGTGGTAGAAAGATCGTCGTTAGAGAAACCAAATGGAAACGGCAGTTTATCCCAATAATTGTTAATTTCACCAGGATCAGGGGATATATTAACATCACCAGGTAGCTCTTGGAGGTGGCACAAGGGACAAATCCAAGATGCAGGACTGCAGTTTTGATATTGTTTGATTACGTTGGGGGAAATTCTTCCACATTTTATATGACATTTCATTTTGCATGAGTCACAACATATGGCTCTATGATTTTTGGCGACGGCCTTAGAGCAAACAGCGCATGGATTCCTTGTTGGTCCTGGGTTAGTGGATACATCACCAGCGAGAATAATGAGGAGGAATAAATTTGTTCGTTGAATCAGAAATCGACATGATCGGGATGATGCAAATAATCTGAGTAATGAAGAATGTAAGTCTAGGTTATCGATACCAGTATTTATTTGCGAAATCCAATTTTCAGCAAAATAATTGATTTCAGGTGAAATTTTGTCATAAACGATTGGTTGCGTTATTGAAGAAAATCTAACGATAATGCAAAGTAGGTGTGCTAATAAGATATAAAGTTTCATTTTCAACGATGTTCAACAAATTAGATCAGATTTTTGTGTCACGCCCTCAGGAATCTAATGGTAAACTCGGCGCTAAGCAACGGTGAACAACAACATAATAGTGCTTTGATCAACCGATTGAAAAAATCGCGCCAAGCAGAGTAGGCAATGAAAATGAAAATCTGGATAAGATTTTGAAATATCAATAAAACTCGAATGAAAATATCAGTTATTTATACCAGTAAAGTTGAGTTCTGTTAAAATTGATATTGCTTTGGGATGATCTTACGGCAAATACATTTGTTGCATGAGCTAGGCCTGGTTAAGTGCTGGTCAGTTCCATGTCCAGTAACCGTTGCAGAGTTGATCTGTCCAGTGACGGATTCGCCTTGGTTAGGCTGAGGACTGGTATGATGTGGCTTAAAAGTTCGTAGGTATTAAACGTTAAAATTTCAAAATAAGATGAAAATGAGCAGACTTAACGAAACTCTGTTAAAACACTGATCAGTAATAAGAAAGTAGAGTCAGTATTTGAAACGTCAAATGTACAAAATTTCAAGATTTTGGAGAACAGTTTAAAGGGTACGTCCACTTACACGTACATCCACTCAGCTTTGTTTACTACTACTCGAGTCAACGTATTGTACTGCTTTTTATATTTTCAAAGATCATGATGTACGCAAATAGTGTCTAGGCATAGGTATATTATTATTACAAAAGTCCATTAATGTTTACTATGTCGACTACCAGAACTTTTGGCCTACCCAACCCTATACTATCCGCCGTACTTTCATACTTTCATCCACAAGCACAACTTGGCAACTCGCGAGGGAGAAGTCAGGATGATGCATATCCATGTTATCAGTTCACATAAATTACCTTAAATAGCGCCCTCTATAATTTATTTACTGTATGGGAAAAAGAAAATTCCTCCCCAAAATACATAATAAGCAAGAAAGCAAAATATCTTAAAAAATTATAATATAAATTTGTCGATCAAGAATTGTTTGCAACTGCTTCCATCCATCTCGTTCCATCATGGCTGTGGAAACAACATATCTTAGTAAATTACCGTAGTATCTTTTTCTAGTTGATCCAGATATGTCAATCCTTTTTTCCTCTTTTAACTTGACTATGTGCAGGTTGCCAGAACAATATCTTGGAAATAATTTCTCATAGTGTTTCATGATAATGTTCATTCACGAGAGAAGGTCCGCACAGTTCATTAATCATATTATTTTTCCGTGTTACTTGCATTATGACATAAGTTTTGCTTAACACCATGGTGTAATGATTCAACTACGCGTTATACGTACCCCAAGTATCGAAATGCACGCCACCGTGTCGGGATTCAATATTTCATTCCTGATGATGACATAATTAATGTCGAAATATTGAATCCCGACAGGATGGCGTACATTTCGATGCTAAGAATTTATACTATCTTAGCTTATTAATTCAAGTGTCGACAAATGCTACTAAATATTAACAGAAAGACGCTATTAATATTTTAACCAACTCAATATTATACAGAATCTGTATTTTTTTATTTTTATAAAAATCAATTTTCCTTCCTGTGTCATGATAAGTCATTCATTGTTTTGTTTATACGATGCTAAATTAATTGCGTTGAAATAGAATAAAATTCTGACTAGTGTAAGCTATTTGTTTCACTCTACTGTGACTTCGGTGAATAAACGAGGTAAGCACACTTAAAAAAAGTGTGGAACAATAAAATATAGTGTATTATAATACAACCTGTATTGTCAAGTGGAATACCCCATGCTAACCAGTGGCGGACCGTAGGGTAAATTGCAGGGTATGCTAGGTGTTGGCATATATAGGATGTGCAAGGGTCGTGCACGCCCCTCCCCCAAGAAAAAAAATACTCGCCAATCCCCCGCCCACAAATCATACTCAAGTAGTTAAAAATCACCTTAAATCACATTATTTTGCAAGTTAGCCCCCTCACCTAATCACCGATCCCCACTTTACATTCCCACCCCCATCAGCTCCCTTCCATTTCAAGACCCATACGCCACTGATGCTAGGGCCTGCTAGTAGGAAAGGTTTGTAAGCCTACTACTATACAGGATCGATTACAAGTTAAATACATTTTCTCTTTTGTAGTTCTAGATAATTTTTTTACCCCGTCCAATAAATAAAATTTTTGCTAGGATTCATCAATTATATGTCTTACATGGTATGTCCATGTTAGGTCATTACTAAAATGTATACCTACATGTTTAAACGTTGTAACGAAGTCAATAGGCTTGCAATTGGACATTAAATTTATTTTATGAACATTATTTTTCTTAAAATGAATTGCTTTGGTTTTTGTCTCATTAAATGTAACTTTCCATATGGATGCTTATTGTGAAATTTTCTTTAAATCGTCATAAAAACTTTATTTCTATTATTCGCGGTTTGAATGAAAATGTTCTACAAAACAAAACGAACGTAACATTATGTTTAGCAACGCAAATGCAATCTTAAAGCCCCAGCTTTATGTAACTCTAAGAGAGCCTTAAATTCACTGCTAATGTTGTGGAAAGTTTTTCCAATACCGAGTTGAGTGTCGTCAAAGTAGTGATACGGAACTTCCTTGTTGTATAGATCCACGTGGAACGGCCAGAAACCGTACAAATGTACTTCGTTACACAATTGCAGGGCTAGATTCGTCATATAGAAACCTACAGAAGCAACAAACACCACATTATATCATCAGTAACAATATTGATAATGAAGAAAATAATAATAATAATAATAATAATAATATATAACAATAAATAATAGTTTTTATCATTTATATAGGCCAAATGTTACTATTATACAGTAGGTGTAGTTTTCCCCTACCTGAAGTGGAAATGTACTGAATACTCAGTACGTGTGAAAACAATTGGGAAAGAAAATCGCAAGTTGTTCTCGGGTGGGACTCGAACCCACAATCTCCAGACTTTCACTATTAAGATTGCAGTGTGCACTCAGATACGTTGCCGATATTTTGTTTAAACAGCTCTGTTGCTTGTCATAGGCCTTTTTACCGTCAAAATTGTTGAGTGTTGCCGACAATTTATTAGTTAATTACTTCTAATTGCTTGCCTATTATCTTAGGATTTATTTCCATAATTTATTATTACAGTTTTTAGTTGATCTACCTGCTCTGTATTTTTGTTTTTAACTAGGCATTAACGTAAGCCCTTCCTATACACGTCTTCTCCGACTAAGGACTTAGAATCCATAATATATTGACTACTTGATTGAAAATAAAATGAACGATAACAAATGTTGCACACATTTTGGACAACTATATAAACTTAATTAAACATGTATATAAATTAAAGCCCATCGGTGCCCTGTAACCTGATCATTCTTTGGCCTCTAGGTACACTTATCGCCACTGTACTCGTATTTGTATATAACGTGAAACAGTTTTACTTCATTGTGCATTAACTGTTAGCCTCTTTTTTCTTTTATCTTACCTGTTGTAATTGACTTGTTTATGCCTCTTTGCTTCCAAAAATTCATAACTTCAGTAAAATGCTGGGGATGTCCATGCAAAATGTGCACTGGATACTTTTTTGACGTTTTCATCATTCTATCAGCCCGTAGGCACAAATCGACGTTATAATTTGCGGCAAATGTAGGTAACCAGAGATGCATATTGTATTGAAGCATGCCATTCAAATATTTCCAATGATCTTTTCTTGTTCGTAGTTTATTGTAACTTAATAATTAAAAAAAAACCAGTTTATCGGACATGGAGAAATTACAGCTAGAACACACACTTATCAATTGATCATGCCTTCGAGATATCAAAACATTTGATCACACACACATACACCCCCCACCCTACACACACCCACACACAAAATCAAAATATAAATTCTCGATGTAAGACAGAGTTCTCCGATGAGTAAGTATTGTCAGTATGTGAAATATAGGAATGGATTGGCTTGGTTTGGACATATTTCCACAATTCAATCAGCATTGCAATAAACAAAAACAAAAACAAAAACAAAAACAAAAAACAAAAAACGAACAAACAAATAAGTGATAAATGTACATTGCTTTGTACCATATTCCCAAACATTGAATTTATTCATCTAGCGACATGCACTGAAGGAAGTAATTTATGCTTCAATACTGAAATAAAATGAATGCGAAAGCAAAGTATATACCGTAAAACCTCGAACATGGGCTTCAATTCGAGATGGGAGATGGCTTCTTTTCGAGGCTGCTTTTGCAAAGTAAAGAGGGAGGCTTCTCTCAAAATGAATGGTCTAAATTTTGGGAATCCTATATATCAAATAGATAGGTCCACTGTAGCATCTATTGTGTAACCTACTGGGCTTCTGTTCGAGGGTTTACGGTATTTCAAGAACAAACGTACGTTCTCCTTAAGATAGATGGGTTGACAGTCGTCAGATTTGATTTTTTTCCAGCGTCTTCTGCGAATGCTTTTATGGGAGGAGCATTACAGCTGTGAAGAATCATTTTATTAAAGTTGTCAAGTTATCAAGTTATTAATCATATATATATATATATATATATATATATATATATATATTATAATATCGTGTAGATTTTTTTTTATACTGTAGGGCTACTTATCACGTTTGAGGAGTTTAGTCAGAGCAGCTCCTTTATTCACTGTTTGTAATAGCCAACTTATATTTCGTTTGTCACACACGACAAAGAATGGGCCGAAATATTCATGGTTGGATAAATTTTGTGTTTTAAAGTCTATCAATTCTTTTTCATACATTCCTCATTTTCATTGAGTTATATATCAAGGAACAAGGATTACAAAACGCAAGTAGATATAAATACAGCGGAGTTACGAGGTGGTGACGGGCCAAGTGCAAGACAATTGCCGGGGCCTATAAGGCACCTGATAGAAAGAGCCTTCACGCAGGGTTCCCGGAACGCCGCCCTCAGCGGCGAGTGCGAAGCACAACTCAGGGTCAAAAGTGGAACGTGAAATTTGAATATGGTTTCGTAGTCAGATTTGCGAGAAAAAACTTCAGCTACCCGTATTTCTCGACTGAGACGTCAGTGGGAGCTGTAATTTGTATGACAAGGGGACTGTGCAACCCTTCATTCGTATTAAGGGAATTTACGCCCAGAAACTTTGTAGTTATTAATATTTTGGTTATAATAGAAAATATTCATTTTTTGGTGACGTCACACTCACATTAGTTAGCATGCATACGTCATAAGCTAGATACGTCACCTTTTCTGGTAAGGCAAACCTTCCCGGCGTGCTTTTTCATGGATAAACAAACACCACTGCTTTGCACGTTGATGCCTTGCCCAAGCCAAGCCAGGGCTACAAGATCCGCATTGTTAGCATTGTATAATACTTAAACAAGGTACCTCTGCAAATGAATTATTCTTAGTTATTTTTCTTTTTCTTATTTTAATTTATTTCTTCCGAAAGTGTACTCTCTATCAAATATAATTCCACTGTCTTAGTTAGGCTAGGCCTAGTCTTATGCCTCATCGTCCCCCGCTACACAGTACATCGGCAGCCCCTCCCCCATACAGTACAGACGTTTGCTAGGTAACAACGTGATTGCACCTTCCTTCCCAGGTGTTCATGTAACATTGACATAATTGTGAGCTAACCAGTTGTGTGTATTTCTTTGTGAAAATGAGTACCGCGGCGTACTCATTTTTACAAAGCATTTGCATCCCCTCTTGGAAAGAGGGATTCGAAATAATTGTCTCCATATCTTCGCTAATAAAATTTATCAACGTAATTTAGCTTACACTTATGAATTTAGGGAGCACTTAAAATGTGAAATAATCATTTCACTACCCGACAAACTCCGAATTTTATTCATTCATTAGGCCTACATAACAGTTTTATATTGCTGAACTATATACTCCAACATCACTGGCGCATGGTAACAACCAACTGACTGCAGACCATTTCCGGTCACACATTACTCTCCATAACACAGCACCCCCTAGTTCCGTCACCTCTGGGTGGAATCTACTTAGGCAAAACTCTTATGTTCATATACATTCTGATATTGTTTTAAACAGATAGAGATACGGCATTTTAACGAGCATATTTACAAAATATTCTAAGACATATTCAAGGATATTGAGAACAAAATATAGTCAGAATGTCATATATATATTTTATCGTTTAGGGCCTATTGGGACTTCATGAGTCTTTGATAAAGTATAACAATAGAACAATAAATGGCCTAATATACAGTGAAGTACTACGTTTGAATTGAAATATTATTCTAGCAGTAGTGTCTGTCTGTGGTCTGACTCGTTCCCCCTCCTTTAACACTGGCGTAGGCCTACTCATCAGTATGATTCAGGAACTTAACGTGCACAATAAAGTTGAATCAACTTTAAAATATCAAACAATAGGCCCAATGTTTGATGTGCGCGCCGATATTTCAATTGCTTAGAGAAATATGCTTTCAAAAAGTATTTTAGTGCATCGTACCGTACTGGTACGAAGCATACGTAAATACTTTATGGAAGAAAATATTTGATAGTATTCAACAGATATGAAGCTGTTCATGGCATGTTTTAATTGGTAATTTGTAATGAATACAATCTGCCTGTAAAACATAATGTTACTAAGGGGAATATTTAAGTAGGAATTTTTTAAAGTTAATTTTTTAGA